CATTGCCATGACTCCAAAGGCACCGCTCTCAATGCCCATGACGTCACTGGAACCGCGCTCGCGCGCAAATCATCCAGTGCTTGAAGGCTTTGCTCGAAGTTTGAGGACCTGGCGGGCGCGCCAGCGTCGGGTGGCCACGCCCGGGAGGAGGAGCGACCTCCAGCGCCTGCCGCACTTGACGGTGAGCTGCCGACCATTGCTGACGGATCAGGGAAATTGACTTAGGAGCACACATCATGGGAACGTGGTATGTCCAACTCCAAGAGGCAGAGGAAGTTCTCGAGACGCCCTCATGGGAGTTCTTGTTCTGTGCCCACCGAGATGGGTACAGATAGCCACGTTCTCGTGGCTGCGGCCAGTGATGAGCAAGGGCGCTTGCGAAGAATAGGTTATGATCGGAACCGTGGCGCCGACGAATTTTTCCTGGTACCTCGGATCGCAGAATACGACGAAACTTACGATCTCGATCCAGACGAACATGGTCAGTGTGTTGGGCTATGCTTCACTGCTGATGTGTCTGAGGTTGTTCTGTCCGAACAACGGCGCGAGTCATGGCGTGACGATCAAATATCGGCAACGCGCACGTCTGTCTCAGCCGCAGCTAAGAGAGCTGTGGTCGTCAGGGAAGACGACCTCTTGACAAAGGCAGTAATGCGAGCCAACCCGACAAATATATCTACGGCCGTGTACACGCAACTCACACTATGGCATGCTAGCCTATGGTTTAGGATGCATGACATGAGAAACATTTCCAATGTCAGGAACTCCTAGATATTATACAAGTGGAAGGTTGTCAAGAACGACAGGGGCGAGATGGAGCGAACTATGCGACTGCGCCTTGCTCTTCGTGGCTTCATGGGCGTCGAAGCATTCGACGTAGAAACTATCGCAGGCACAGCTCGTCGAGCAAGCCAGGGACTGCTCGCCAGCGCGTCCGTGTGCGATATCGATATGATTTTCTTGAAAGGTCTGACCTATCGTGAGTTGGCAGAAGTCCTTGGAGAGAAGGATCGCGTGGTCTGCTTTACTCTTCCACTTGGTTCAACCTCGGTGCGACGCGCGTTGTCCAGCTTCTCGTCTTAGGACGAATAAATGCGCTGCCTGTGGTGTCTTCAGCCAGGCACAGGCGCCAAAGATGCCTCTGGGGCATTCCCATTGGAGCTCAGAATCATCGCGCGAGGATTTGGGCTACAACTTACGTCATGCGATGAAGGTGTCGAGACAGGGCCAGGCCTCTTAACGGCCAGGCACGTCGATGACATGAACGTGGCAGGAGTGGATGCCACGAGTGACAAATCCGCCAAATGTGAAGAACGTGCGCTCGGCGCATGCAAACTGAACAACCACCGTTGCGCCCAGCGTGCCGTGCGCTTCGCTGAGACCGAGGGCGGCCGCGCCCAACTAGATCAGGATGAACATATCAGACAGCTTCGTCCACTGCAGCGCCCAGAACTTACGGGCGTCCCAGCAGGAGAGAGACAGCAAAGACAGTGCTCGACATGTTCATTAGTTCACGTAGTGCGTTGGCGTATGCGGTAACCACTCAGGCGTGGTTAATGTTATGCGTGGTGCCCTTGCAACGAGCGCAGGGTCCTACGTCTCCAAGTTCGAGGACTGAACGCCGTCGCGCGCGAACTTCAGAAACATCCAAATAAGATAAGATATTCGCGTGTGACTCCGACGGGAGAAGTGGACCTTCAGTGACCCTGGATATCGTCGCCTTGATGGGGGCGAAGATGACTAGGTGAAGGGATGTGGCGCCCGAGAGGCCAACCTGTTACTGCGCGGGCGCGCGCCTAACGTCAAAGCTGTAGTGCATCTGTTCGATGCGCGCTGCAAGTCGCATCGCTTGCAGGTGTGTTCCAGCTACTCAGCTGAAACGCTGGCAGCCGCGCATAATCTTGAGGACCGCCACCATACCATAGTCACGCTACACATGCTTACAGGTGCACCCCTGGCGCCCGCTCAACTTACGAGCATTTTGGAGCTATGTGTTCTCAGCGTTGGGGCCCTCCTTGCCATGGGCGCTGAGACGCTGAGTCGGTCTGAAAAATCATTGTCAAGTGAGGATTGAAAGGAAGCCCACGGAACGTGCCTTGCTGGGGTGCATCAGCTGGGTAAAATAAATGATGGGCCGAGGTGTAGCGCATTGCGTGCCGTGGTGTGATGCACGGGGCATGGCCGCTGTGCCAAGGGTGCATCGATCGGGCGTTACTCCTGCAAGTACTGTGGGGCAATCATTCCTCCGAATACGAAGAAAAGAAGTGCATGCCCCATCGAGGCAAGAAGGATGCTGCGCCGACGTGGGGGGGGGGGGGGGGGGGCAATTCAGGGCCAGTGGATGCGAATGAGGGTGACTACTCAAACGCAGACAAGTAGTTATTCTTGCCTGGCCACGAGCATGCGTGCCTACAAGTTGTTATTCTTGCCCGGCCACGGGCGTGCATATTCACGCATATGCTTATGTATGTATAAAGATATATATATATATATATATATATATATATATCTGTGTGTGTGTTCATTTATAGTTGTGTATGTATACAGGTGTGTGTATACATATCCGCAGCTAGCATGAGAGCCTGGGCGCGGGTATGTCCCTTTATATTTTTTGAGGGGGTCTGATCACTTGGTCATGTCCCCTCGCGCGCTGCTCGCTGTGACGTCCGGCCCGCTGGCTGGGCGCCCCCCCTCATAGTCGGTGGGCGGTCGCGCGGTCTTGCCCGTGGCTGCTCATGATCTTCTGCGGCTGGTCGTGGGGCAATGCGCCGGCGATCGGCCCTGGTGATTTGTGCTGCTTTTCCAGAGCCTTGTGACTGCGTGCTGTTAGGGATGCTGAAAACAATATTCCCATCCTCCTTCTTTACTTGACTTAATTAATCCGGACTTGGATCTATCGTGGGCCCCCCCCCGACCTTAAACGAGGTTTTCGGAGAGGCTGTATAGCGAACGCTATATCCGACGCTGTCTTGGCTCAAGACTGTGCGGTCCTGTTTGCCAGTTGCGCGACCGCGTGCGACTATTGGGATCGTGGCGTCAGACAAAGGCCACGTGTATCTATGATCCGCCCGTCCATCCCAGGGCTTCTCTCCTACTTCTCGCCTTGCCTGCCATCGAGGGATGAGTTGTGGGTTGCGTCGATACGTCGCCGGCGTTTCTTCAAGAGTAGGGTTCTCAGCTGACTGCTTCATGGTCAAGCCATGCGCCCACCCGGGCCTGAACGCAGCAGTGAATGCGCTGCCCCCCCCCGCCGACCTTGTCAAATCCACAGCAGAGTGATCGCGCGGCGACCGCGCATGATCCAGATTTTGTTTCACAGTGCGCTGTGTATGTTTTTTTCCCACAAGGGGCGGTTGCTGGGTGTTGATTTTACATGCAGCAGACAATCTGTCGGCTCCGTCGTTTCAAACAAAAAATGCGATGTCATCGTGGGGCGCCCGCGCATCATCCAGATTTTGGTTCGCAGTGCGCGCGGCAGTTTGTTTTTTACAAAACATAGACGGGTCTTGGCGTTGCACGCATCGGGCAACATGCTGGCCCCCCCCGCCACCCCTTTTTCTGACAAAAACCAATGCAAAATGATCGCGGGGCGTCCGCGCATGATCCATATTTTGGCGTGAAGTGCATTTTGTGTTGTCTGGTTTTTGACAAGGATGGCGGTTGGTGGGGGGGGGGGTCGGCATGGTCTTGGGTTTGTCGTTTGTCGGGTGGTGGAGGGGTGTGTCACTCAATACGGCGCAGTGATACGCCCTTCCCCGAAGGGGAAAAAATGATGAAATACCGCAGTCCACCTACGCTTTTTAAGGGCTGGTACGGGTCCAGGCATTCTGGGGCTGGGCGGCCCTGCTGCAGGGGTTTGGTGGGGGCCATCGGCGAGGGCTAACGGGGACCATTCTCAAGAAACGGGATCCGTGGCAGGCCAGGGCTTGAGCCCTGTTGCAGGGGCTGGTGGTGTTGGGTGGCAGGGGCAAGCGACGTAAGAAAGCGGGGTCGTCTTCACCGACATTGGCGTGCAATTTGCCCGCGTAAAATCGAGCGTAAGCGCTGTCGTTTCCAATGTTGCGTGCCGCGCTGGCGGCCTGCGTAGTCCGCCGCGTGAGGTCGCTCGGCCATCTCGCGTGAGAGCCGTGTCTTTTTCGTCGCTCAAGTGGGGGCCAATCCAGACAACCCGAGTGCATAGGGCAGGGGGCTGTGGGTAAGTGCTTGTAGGGATTGGTGGCAAGGGTTTGCGGGGAGGGCTAAGTCCACGAATCAAGCAGTCTTCGTCGAGACATGCGCCCTCTTTCGAGCCAATGACAAGATGCTTGGGGAGCCAGTGTAACATATCTTTGCGTTGTAACGTGTCCGGAGTAGCGCAAATTTGCATGATGAAACGCACGTGCGGAAGAGTGGGTGTGCCATGCGACCTAGGCCATTCTGTGTGTTTGCATTTCGGCGCATGGGCAAGGCCACGAGCAACAGCGAGAGCATGTGCAAGACGCCATGATGGGGAGGACGACCAAGGAAACTGTTCAGTAGGATGGTGAGGAGGACGATGATGAATACCGATGTTACGACGTCGCACGTCTGTATGCGCTATATGTTGGGGACGTCCAGCACCTAACAGGTTCCAGTGCCACTTCCTGCTCTTCTCTTGCCACTGTTCGCGAGGGCTCCTGGTCCAGGAAGGTGTCAGAGGCGACCATTATTTTCTGCTCACTCCACTGGGGCTGCAAAACGGGCCTGCAGAGGGTCACTTTGGGAGACGAGGGAGGCGACCGTAGTCCTGGACGCGCCCAGAAGGCGGGCGATAAAAGTCGCGTCGGGAGGCGAGGGTGGCGACCAGTATCGGGAGGCTTCCCAGGGGAACTTGCTCCTGGTGTGGAAACGGAGGTGAGTTCTGTGAGGCTCCCCAGGCCACATGGGGCTACCATGCAGCGCAGCGCAGCGGTCACACGCAGTGCTTTCCGAGCCTTCATCGCTTTATTGCCCTGTGGGGGGTGGATTGTTGTCCTCTCCAGGCGAGATCGACCCGCACCCCGAGACCAAGCCAGCTCGTGCCGACCCCATCGACATGGACGAGGACGAGAAGGAAATGCTGTCAGAGGCGCAGTGGCTCAGTGAATGAATCCGAATCCTATTCCCGCCTCACATTGGACTGGTAGGGGTCACCTGTAGGGGTTCACTCTGCTTGTGCCCGCTCGCAGACCCCACACGTGGCCGTCCAGAGGCGGTGCTGGGCGCGAGCCGAGGAGGTCGGGGAAAAGAGGCGCGCTCGCAGTCAGAACTCCTCCGAACATCCTTTCCCGTCCTCTTCCTTCCCCACTTCCGCATCCTCGCGGCAGGGAGCTCGGGGTAGCCTTTCTCCTCTTCCTTGTGATGGGACAGCCCTTCTGCCCCCGATACGTTTTTCACAAGGGCCAGGGAGACTGCACGGCACGGGCGTCTCGCAGTGGTGCCGTGCCCGGTGGCTCGTGGTTCAAGGGCCCGTGGCCCTGCGGCTCCGATGCCCACGGCACGCGCGCGTGCGCGCGCGCGCGGTGTGTGTGTGTGTGTGTGTGTGTGTGTGTGTGTGTGTGTGTGTGTGTGTGTGTGTGTGTGTGTGTGTGTGTGTGTGTGTGTGTGTGTGTGTGGGGGGGTGCCACGCTTCGTGTCGCCGCCGCTGCGCTCCTCAGCCGCCTCGCCGCTCCCCGTGGCTGGGCGCTCCCTGCCCGTCTCTCCGCTTCCTTGGGCCCTCTTCCTCTTGGGAGGGCGCTCTGGCCGTCCTGCATGGCATCCATTTCGGCCACCGTCGTTTTCGGCGCGCCGCCCGGCCTCGCCGGACTTCGTGGCTTTTCTGCGGGCGACTCTTTGCGGCTTTTCGCCGCCTCTGCTGTTAGGTCAGCATCGGCTTCTTTACCGCACCACTCTGCTCTCTCGCTCCTCCCGCCTCCCTGTCCTGGTTGGTTTTTGGCACCTCCACCTCACTGTAGTCTCATCCTTCTCCTCCCCTTGCCATCTAGAAAGGTCTTGGCCTCATTGTTGTTCCACCTTCCACCTCCCAGTAATCTCGTCCTTCGACTGCTCCCCCCTGCCATCCATGCCCGCATGGTTATGACTGCCGGCGGCTGCGGGATCCTCAGCGGTTTCCGAGTTTTCGGGCGGGTTTAGTCGCGCGCGCGGCTGCTGCTTTTGACCTTCTACGCCCTGTCGCTGCGCGCAGGGCCGTGACGACAAAACGTATGTGCGTGTGCGTGTGTGCTTGTCGGGGGCGGATGGGACGGGCTCTTCCGACCAGAGCTGGGCCAAAAGAGGCTGTTCCCTTTGTCTTTGGCGTGGCGAGTGGTCCCCCAGCTCACAACCACACCGAAGGCAGGGGATGTCCTAACCCTGAAATGCCAGTGACGACTGTCGCCGCCGTTTTTGCTCCCCGCGTGATTGTGACGATCGCGCCCCCCGCGCCTTGCTGTTCTCCGTTGCCTGCTTCTTCTCTCATTGCCGCAGGCACGAGCGCGCTTGGCTAACACCCGCGGCAAGAAGGCCAAACGGAAGATGCGCGAGAAGCAGCTGGAGGAGGCATCGCAACGTCCATGCCGAGCAGGATATGGGTACGATCGGTGATGACAACAGGGATGCGCACACACACATATATATATATATATATATATATATATATATATATATAGATTTGTAGGTTTACATGAATGCATTTACACACATATACATATACACGTACACTTATACATATACATATACATACATAAATATACCTATATATATATATATATATATATATATATATCTAGTTGAAAGTAAATACACATGTCCACACACAGTTACACACATATGGCGTAGGTATGCCTGTCTGTCTGTATGCAGGTATGTATGTATGCATGTATGCATGTCTATATATATGGGTATATACATAGATACGTATTTATGTACACATCTGCACATATATACAATAGTGTGATGGGGGGCGAGGGGAAAGGGTAGAGGAAGCAGCAGCCGCATAGGCGGAACATTGAGCAGGAGACAGAAGATAAGGTGCAGGTGCAGGAGCAGAAGGAGTGAAAGCAGGGGACATGATTACGAACAGGTACACTAGGAGGTGATGGAACAGTAGCGAAAGGAGAAGGAGGATGAACAGGAGGACGGTGACGAGGCAGGGCAGCACGGGCGCGCTCCCCCCGTCGCCCTCAGGCCCGACGACTGGCGGCCCTCCAGAAGCGGCGAGAGCTGAAGGCGCCCACCCGCATTGGGGGCGTGCCGATCCATGGGGAGTGGGGCGGCCACCAGGTGCGGGGCGAACGTGCGCACCAGCAGGCGCGCGCGCGCGTCCGCACGGCAGCCTGTGGAGGACGGCGGGGTTGCGGGGGCCCGTGCCGCAGGGGTGCTCGCCTGGTGACGCAGGGCGGCGCGGCAGTGGTCGGCTGAGCCTGGCTGTTGTCCGAAGGTCACGACAGGGGCCGGGGGGCACGTGCATAGGGAAGCTGGAAGAGGTGGCTGGGGCCATCACTTGCATTCATTCCAGCCCTGGTAAGTTCCCCCCAGTTTTCCAGCACTGGCAAGCTCATCCCAATAGCCTCGGGCTCGTTTCTGTCCATGCCAGTTTTCCCAGCCTTGGCCACTTCCTCTTTCACGGAGTGTTCAACTTCCACTTTTTCCAGCTTCTCTGGACCTTCGATTCCTTGGCCCAGTCAGGACGGCAGAGCCTCCTTTCCCTCAGTGGGAAGGCTGGCAGTTTTCATGCTTGGCGTTCCGCCGCGGCCTTGGGCTTGGGCTGCGTCAAAGCGCACGCTCACCAGCGCGCTGTTTCATTCGCGCCCCGCCCTCTACACTTGCGCTCATCTGCTTCTGATTCTGAGAAGGCATGCGTCCTTGCCGCCCCGGCGGGGACAGAGTAGATGAGGTCGGAGGATCGCGCCGCATCGCCGATGCATGGGTGATGAGGGGCGGCCTGGAGCCCGATGCTCTCCACCCCAACGTCGCCGACGCATCGGCGATGTGGTGCGATCTCATCTATGCCGGCCCCACATGGGAGGCCTCCAGTGCGGTCGTGTCGGAACCGCAGGCTCGTGCCTGAAACGCTTGGAGTACGGCGTGGGGCCGCTCGTGGGCCCAGCGGCACGATGGTGCAGCCACCAGTACGAACGAGCCGCGATAGGTGACACCAGGCGCAAGCGCACGCACGTGAATGCTGACACGCATGCCAGTAACATTAAACACGCGCATACGCGCATGAACACATATGCCTATAGCAACCGATGTAAGTGCTCGACCACACACACGTATGCACATTGTATGCACGTATGCTATTGCATGTCATCGCTTGTCGTTTTCCCTCGTAGCATGTGGTCGCAATCGTACGCCTACGCCTGCGCCTACGCCTACGCATACGCATATGCATGTGCAAATGCATGCGCATTTATATGCCAACATGTCCGTATGCATGTGCAGGCGCATGTGTGCAATGCTTGCCTCCTGAGAGTCCATGTGTTCCCAGTTGGGGCGAAGCCGAAGCCCTGGCCACGTCTGGGTCATGCTGACTTTGCTGGCAGCTCTGGCACTTAAGAGAACGCACACAAACTGATGCAGAAGTCAACATTAATGCGTGGGCCGTACACAAAAGTATGCATTCATGCCAGTGTACATGTGCGTACGCATTTTGCCGTGCATGCCCGCGCGCGCGTGCTTATGCAACTGCCTTGCCCAGGCCGCGGGCATCTCGACTGCCCGGAAGTACAAGCCACGCAAGGGCATCGACTACGCGGAGGAGGTGCCCTTCGAGGCCGCACCCCCGATGGGCTTCCACGCCACGGGCGCGGAGGAGACTCCGAAGGTGGCGGCCGCCGCCCAAGCTGATGTTGAATAGCGATGCCCATAGGGGAGAGGCCGACAGGCTCTCTCTTCCTTCCTGATGTGGTTTTGCTACTTCTTAGTTCCGCAGCTTCTCTCACTCCTACTGTTTTGGCAGCGCCTCTGCACGTTGTAACCAGGAGTAGCTGGTAATGAATCGCCTTGTGCTTCCCACTCATGCTGCCTTTTCGCAGCATGCTCGTTCCCACCCCCCTCAGCCCTCCCTCAGCCTTTTTCCCTTCTCAGTCGCATCAAGTTCTCGTAGTAACACCCTATGTAATATGGTAGCGCAGTTGTTTTTGCCTCTCCACGTCGAGTGCTCGCCAAGCTGAAATTTGTAACGTGGCGCAATTCGTTATGATGAACCAGGTCGCATAGGACGAACGCGTGACCGAGGGCATCCTTTATCTCTACCAAGTTGCAGCATTCCACCCAAATGAGACCACGTGAACATCCTGTCATGTCAAACAGCGACTGTAACATATCAGCGTGTAATTCCCGCACTTTGGAAGGCGTTGAGGCGTTGGTTACTATACACCCCCACTTGGCGGACAACATGATCAAGAGACAGGCTTACATCAACCACTGAGGCTTCAGACACGTGTACCGGTGTCACAAGACAAATGTAATGTCGCAGTCGATGGTATTTGAGAGCCACCTCGAACTTGCGTGATTCAGAGATGTCGTTTTTGTTGGTGAAGCAGGGTGGCGCCTGTGCGGTGCGTTGTGCGATGAAGCCATGTGTCCCCAGGTGATGACGACCGTAAGTTTCAAGGCTGCCGCTGTGACCGCCAATTGAATCTCGTCCAGGTGCTCCTTGCGTCTCCTCGGTCGCACTGGACACGTGAGTAGCCACCCAGGCGTGGGTCTTTTGGTCCGATTTCGCCCCTCGGTGCCCAGGCCCTCTGACCCTTGGCGCGCACCTCCTCACTGGCCTCTTGCTGCCTGCTCTGGCTTACAGGGCCGCCAGGGACTCGACGTTCAGGCTTGTCATGCTTGCACGCTGCACGTGCCGTCCGTCCGCCCACCTTCTCCACGCACGCTCGCCTAGCGCAGCCATTCCTCTTCTGCGCGACGACTCGTCTAGCGCAGTCCACGCCTTGCCTGCGGCGGGTTGTCTGTCTGGTTGCACGTGCTCCGTCTCACGCTTGTGTGCCAGCCGTAATGGTATGATACACTGGTTGTTTTTCTCTCGTGTCAGGGTCTCTGGAGGTCAGCTGGAGGTTCCCAGAGGTCTCCAGAGGCTGGCGGATTTTTCCAGAGACCCGAAAGGCGCCCCCCCCCCAAAGAAAAGCGCAGTCCACCATCTACAACGTCAGGTGGAATTGACGCTACTCGCGCCCCGCCGTAGCCCTCGCTGCAGTGACGTCACTCGGCTGCTGGAGGAAACAGAACGTGTTTACGGTGGCGCGCCCTCTGCTTCTTTTTCGGTCGCGTGACCTACGTTGCTTTCGCCTGCCCCTCCTGTTCGGCAGTTCCGCCGCCCCCTGCCCGGGTTTCCGTTTTCTGTTGCCTATGTCCTGCATCCGCTTGTTTTTTTCAGCCCCAGACATGGCTGTTTGCGCTTCTGGGGAGTTTAAGTTTTTTCGCGCTGCTTCTCAAGAATATGGATTTTCGTTGTTGGCGACTCCACATCCGGATTACCGCTGGCTTGACTTTAATCGCGCCTCGGAGGCAAGTGTTTGCGTGTGTATGGGCAATGGCTTCACAGTCTCTGGCAAATGCTATACAGGCCAAGGCGTCCATCTACTTGGTGTTTGTGCCGAAAGGGTCGTCCCAGAAGACGATTTAGCGTTCGCCAATGTCGCCTTGTTCATGGCTGCTGTGTATCAAAGACTGTTTAGCAACGACTCTGACTGTGTATGGCGTCGTGATGATGCCAAGAGAAAGTGCTTTCTATGTCATCGCAGGCTGGAATCCTCTGGACCGCGCAGGTTTCGCTGTCGTTTTCGTTCAGAGTTCCCTGTCGGAAGCTTGAGTATGTGCGTGATACTCCACGGTGCATCGACGACGCTGCATTGAGGCCCTGGCACACGTCGCGGTCGTCAGTGTCGTATATACATTATTGGGATCATTTCCGATAGCGCTTCTGGAGCAGGAAATAATGAGGAGTAAAAGGATGAGGAGGAGGGAAGTAATGAGGGGACGACTAGCGACAACGCAAAACTGATTAGCTTCGAGGAGTCATCAGACATCGATCGTAGGACTCCTACTTCTCGATTTGGCATTGCCCAGGGGTGAGTACATAAGAGTAGGTTCTGGAGGCTCTCTTGTTTTGGTTCCAGAGTCTTACGCCACTCCGCCGACCCCCAGAAGAGGCGGGGAGTCCACGGTTGAGGCGTCGTAGATTTCTTGGGCATTATCTGGGGACTCTTGTGGGCGTATTGGTAGCCCTTGGGGGGCCTGGCGCAGCCTCTTGGAGGCAGTATTGTAGCGTCTTGGGGCCAATTTTTGGGTCTCTTTTGGGCCTCTTGGGGGTCTCTTCGGGCTTGTTGGGGGCATCGTCTGGGCCGCTTGGGGGCTTCGTGGGGCCTTTGGGGGGCTTCTTGAGGGGGAAAGATAGGATGTTCGGTTCGTGTTCTCCCTCCCTCTTGGGAAGATCTTTGGCCGTCTTGAGCCCCTCTTTGGGCCGTCTTCGAACCCTCTTGGGCCGTCCTGGGGCCCTCGTAGGGGCCTCTTGGGCAGTTTTTGGGCGGCCCACGGGGCCTCTTGGGCCGTCTTGGAGCGTCGTCGGCAGCTCGAGAAGACGATAACGCCAGGAACAATGAACAATCTGAGGAAGACAATTGATTATTGCCTCTCGGGGCCCTCTTGGGACGGCTCCTGGGGCGTCTCGAATGTGTCGTAAAGCTGTGGCCATCATAAGCGTGTTGGGCCATTCTTTCCGCGATTCGGGACCGTCCTGCCTCGTCTTTGAGGCCACGGAAGGCAGATTTGGAAGCGCCGGAGTCTCCTGGGGTGCGCCGGCGAGGCTCTCTTGTTTTGATTAGCCAAGACTCAGCGGTGACCTCGAGCGCTTCGATTGTCCAACCTTCCCTCTGAGCATTTGTGCGCAGCAAGCTATATGCGATATGCTTCTCCTGCTACATGCCTGTGTGTCTGTTTGCATCTGTGACTCTCTCTGTGTCCCTCTGTGTGTGTGTCTGATCTTTCTGCCGATTTCTGTTTTCCTCTCCCCGCAGGTGACGCTTGGCTTGACCAATATCACCCTTCAATCGGTCGAAGATAGGACATGCGGGGCTTGCTTCCACTCTGCAGTATAACAGGAACGCGAGTTTCTGGTTGGCATCGCAGATCAAATATGTAGGGGCCTGAGGCCCCTCCAGCCACCGTGCCTTGGGGGCCTCTGGGGAATCTTCAGGAAGCCTCTGGAGTGTCTTGGGGTCGTCTTGGGCGGCGTAAGTCCGGGACACCTGGCCTGGCACGCTCTGGCAGGCCACACTTAGTTATTGACACATTTTGAGTCGTTCCAACTGTTGTGGCTTGTGTGATATGGAATATTCTCGCTGGTATTGCTTTTACTCTCCGCGCGGCGGGCGAGGCGTAGCTCTAAGGCCAAGGACCTTGAAACGGATTGAGCAGCAAAACTGATAGCGGAAGAGCGGGGTGAGAGCAGCACGCGCCCAGGCAGGGAATGAGCGTGAGTTCAGGCCTCGGCGGGGCCCGACGGGGCTTTGAGGAAACCCTCGGGCCTTTCGGGAGTGAGCTAGATTCACACTCCTCCTGGTCGCCGTCTTGGGCGCCCAAGCGGTGACCATCCGTCAAATCAATCGCGTCTTCCGTTGATAATCTGGGCGGCAGGAGTGCTGGGCTCGGCACCTCTTCGCAGCGGCTGGCAAGCAAACAGCTCGCTCGGCATGTAACACAGGCTGGCCTCATGGCGATTGAACGGATGCTTCTTCACGCACCTGCGAAACAACTCAATTCTGACAGGCTCTCGGCTCAAGGATTCTTTTAACGCTGTAGTAAGACAGTGCTAGGCGGAAACCGCGGTAGCGGAGCAAGATGGTTGGTGATCGTCATCACCCAGTACAGACAGTGCGCGCAGCAACAAGAAAATAACCGAAGCTTCATGCCGTTCTCATTCACTGGCTGCATGCTGCAGCGATCCGGGTGGCGGCGTACTTCTCTCCAATGCGGACTTACGTGATCTTTTTCTGGGCCGTCGTGCCCTTTGAACCTGGCCTGTCCATATCCACCAGGGAGTTCCACCTCGACTAAAGGTCGTGCTTGACGCTGTGATGCAGCCTCGAAAAGTCTGGCGGGTGCACTCGATGATTGCGGCGAAGCCACGGCGCATGCCTCTGGCACGTCCTGCAGGTTACGTACACGCTCTGCGGGCTGTGTCCCACCCGAATAGAGTGCCCGGCAACTGCACACGTATTGATCTCCATCGGCGAAACCGTCGGCGCCGATTTGTTCCAAGGCGCAACGCTTGCAGATGAAGAGCTTGAAACTATCTTCGGCGATGTGGGCACCGAACCGTACGGGGGCGCACAGCTCGTCTGTGGCGCCCCCGGCGCGGCTGCGGCTCTGGTAGTAGACGAGGCAGCAGCAGTTGCAGAGCTCTGCGCGGCAGCGACAGTCTCCTGGCCCAACATGCTCACATCCTTGTCAGCGTCCTCAGGAATGAGCTGCGGGCGCTCGTTGTTGCGCTGGCCTACGCGGCGACCGTCCCAACCATGATGCGGCTCAGCGGTGTCCTCGGCTTTGGGACTCGTTCGGCAGCGTGGTCCCCTAGGTGTCGTTCTGGCGCATGACGAAACACATTGCGGCGAAGATGCTGAACCCCCCCATGGCCATTCCGAGGATTCGCGCGAAGCAGGTGAGGTAGGCCGTGTACTAGTAGTAGCTCATGTCGACGGGCGTCGTCGGAGTGGGCTGTTCCTTGACCTTGCCAGTTCAGGTCATCAGGACAGGGGCCAGCATGGCAGCGTTGGGCTGCCTGGTGCCGAAGTTGTGTGCTTCTTGGCGCCGATGAGGGACATCAAAACGCCGGTTTCCATGGCCTTGGTGAGCGCGTTGGTGACCATGCTTCAGGTAGGCACCCATGTCAGGCGGAGCTCGCTGTTCGGGTGCACGGACGCCTTGATCATCGAGGCGACGCTCCTGAACCACTTGTCCGAGGACCGACCGATGTCCAACTGGATATGGGGTCACGAGGCCCTTGCTGTCGCCATAGACCTCAATGGAGCGCTTGAGGCTGAGGTCGTCGATCTCCCGGAGCGGTATCTTCGGGTTCAAGGCCTCTGTGAGTAGCTGTCGGAAGCAGGTGTTGATCTCGGTCCCCTCGAGTGTCGCATTGCCTTCGGCAGCCAGCGTAGACTTCACGGACCTTTGGGCGGTGCCCGAGTGCCAGGCGACGAGTAGGCAGAGGTCATGGCGGCCCCCGACGACGTCGCATGGCCTATGGATGAGGCCCATTGCCATGCCCCGCTGGCTCTTGACGCCGTCCACGTCGGCGAAGGCGGCGTCGCTGAAGCTGATCGTCGTGCACGTCTTCAGATCGATGAGGTTCCTTTTGAGCACGATTGAAGCATCGGCGGGCCCGTGTACGTAGGAGACAGTCTTGTTCAGTGTCTTGGCGTCGGCCACGGTGTCAACGTTGGCGCGGCGAACCGTGGGATCTCCCGGTCGTGCGGGAACGATCCCGACAGGGGCCAAGTTATTATCCGAGTGGGAAACCGCGATGTACAAGTCCAATGCGGCGACGCACGACATTCACTATGCTTCGAAGCTTTGATCGCCCGAGAGATTGGCTCAGACAACACTGCGCTGCGGACTGTGCTGACATTTGTCGCCAGTCTACCTGCGGGGAGACCTGCTATTGCATTTGGCTACGTCCCTTCCAAAAAGGGAACGCTCCAGATGGCAAGTGCGAGCCGACTATATCCTAAGGTACATGTAGCTCGCCAGTACCTTATCCGGAACTTCTTTCGTATCGAGGACGTAGTCTCTGTCTGGTTAGCTAAGAGTATCCACGAGCTACCTCCGTTGGCTTATGCTGACAGCTGCACGTTGGTGCACTATGACAACGACGTGGATCCAGGCTCCCACCACTATGAAGCCGAAGGCACCTCGAATGTACATGGTATAACCGGGTCAGACCATTTGAGGATCGTCCGATGCCTACAGTCCACTAAACCTCAAGCGGGCTTCGACGAAAACATGACGAAGTTTGAGGAACTGGCCGACGCACCGACGCAAGACAACATCACCAGAGAAGCCCCAGAAGCCGAACCGCCACAGAAAGACGGACGGCTTCCACTATCTATGATGAATCGGAAGCGGACCTTGAGGAGCATAGCATGGAGGTGTGGTACACAGAGCTACAGCAAAAAAAAGGAATTATTGGAGGCAGCTCAAGCATTTGTCCTTTACACTGTACCCGCACATATGATCACTGACAACAGTGTGCTGGTCACGGTTGCTGAAGAATAGCGGGGGCACCTGCCTACGTGTGGCCATCCACGCAACTCCGACATGGCGGAGACATAGCATGTCCCACTATGTTCCACCGACGAAGACTATACTTACGGATTGGACTCGGACGAAAATGGTCAATCTATAGAACTCTGCTTTACTGCAGACGTCAAGGGTAGTCCTATCCGAACAACAACATAGGATATTCGACTTCGACCGTGTGACCACCATGCGAGTGTACGTAACTGCTGCCGCAAAACGAACTGCGGTCGTCAAGGAGGACGACCTCCTCACGAAGGCAGATATTCAGGCGAATCCAGTCAAGGTATCAAAGGCCCTATGTACTGAATTCGAGACATGGTTTGACAACAAGTGTTTCCAGAATCAAGATATATCCAAGGCGTCAAACATCATGACTTCGAGGTGCGTACATATGGGGAAGTTCGTACAGGGCGAAAGGGGCGAGATGGAACGGACCATCAGACTACGCCTGGTACTTCGGCGTTTCATGGGCCGCGAGGCTTTGGAGTGGAAGCAGTCTCAGGGGCGGCGCGGCGGTCAAGTCAGAGACTACTCGCAAGCGCTTAGCGTGCAAGAGGCAATGGGTCATTGCTTCGCTTGACTTCAGCGTGGCTTTCCTGCAGGGGTTGACCTGCCGGGAACTTGCTGAGGCAACCGGTGAAAAGGAGCGTGTGGTGTGCTTTGCATCGGTGCTTCGGCTCCCCTGGGATTCGAGCGCCACGATGTGTCGAAACACTGTGTGCAGTGCCTCCAGCCAGGAGCCGGCGCCAAGGATGCGCCCAGAGCCTTTGCATTGAAGCTCAGGAAGACCACGAGGGGCCTTGGTCTCATAACCGCGTCTTACGACGAGGAGTTCGAGACAAGCAGTGGTCTTCTCGCAGCCAAACATGTTGATGATATCACTATGGCCAGTACTGACGACACCATCGACAAGTGCGTCAAGTGCGTTCAGGACACTTCTGGTAAATATATACTCGACAGTCATGCATATACCATTGGTGCTGTGAGCTGCACCAATGATGGGGGCGGTAATGTTACGCTGGATCAAGACGCATACATCAAACAGCTCCGTCCTATACAACATCCTGAACTCATGGGCGCAGACGCCGACGCCAAAGCGTCCAATCTGGTTACTGACATGTTTGTCCGCTTCAGAGGCGCTATGGTTTACGCATTAATTGCGCAGGTGTGGTTGATGGTATATGTGGTTCCTCTACAACGTGTCCAAGAACCGATCAACATACAGGTGCGACCACTGAGCGCGACTGCCGGGAAGTTGCGGGCCTGACCTGCGAAGATCGTCTAGCGATCGATGACCCCAACGGGCGAACTTGACCTGAACAGCGACTCTGGCTGTCGACGCCTTTGTGGAGATGCCGATGACGAGGTCATAGGCTATGGTATTCGCGGGGCAGCCTTGCTGCGGGGTGGAAACGCGCCAACTGGGGCGCCTGTCGTCCATCTGATTGATGCGTGCTGCAAGTCGCGCCGCTTGCAAGTCCACTCGAGCTATCCAGCAGAAGCACTGCAGCAGCCCACAACGTGGGGGACTGTTATCCCACGATCGTTACTCTGGACGAGCTCCACGCGTGGCCGCGGACACCCACTCAGTTGAAGGATCTACTGGAGATGGGTGGCCTGAGCATTAAGGTCACTTTGACCATGGATGCTGCATCTGTCTTCAGGTCCGTGTCAAGCAAAGACTTGAAACAAGCCGACTGAGTGTGCACTTTTAGGGCGAATCAGTTGGGTGCGGCAGATGATGGAGCGAGGTATCGTGCGTAG